AATGTTAAATCCTTAATGTTAAATCCTCTTCTAGCAATTGAACTCCAGGTAAGCTAACTGTGGAACTGGTGTTGTAGATGAATGTTAAGTCGCTTTGGATAAATTTAGCGTCCGCTAAATGCATAAATGTAAATGTAAACTGCTGAGTTGTCCTGTTTTGTACTTGTTGTTTGGTCTTTCTTTTGTTAATAAAAGTAATATGATTTGATAATCGCTGTTTGGATTCCTAGTACTATTCTGGTGCGTCCAAAAGAGTGAAAGAGATTCACAATTTTACCTGAAAAATCCTGTGCGGAATTTATAACCTCTCAAAATCCTCTCAGTAAAGGCACATGTGGACCCCTGTGAGACAAATAAAAACACCCATGAGTCCAACCTTTAGACAAATTTCATAATGGTTTTTGATTTCCTCTGGTAATGGACATAGGAACAGTCTGCATAAACAAACCCTCAATCACAATGCCACTTATTTGTATTAAGACTCTTCAATTTTTCATATGCTCATATCTGAACGTCTTCAATGGTAAAAATGTTTTTAAAAATCACTGCATTAGCTCTCTTATTGATATTCAGAATACAATAGAATACAGACCGCTCACCTTCCCCTTTGTTCCAGTGATGTGGATGATATTGAGATGGTCAAGAGCTTCCACCTATAAAGCATACACGGGGTCAGAATGAATTAAAGTAAACATGGTGAGATAAGAGATTTTCCATGTTTGGTCCCCCAAATGGGAAATGGGCTCCACAATAAAGCCCCACCGTAACTAAAAACACCTCGTTGTGAATTAATGTAACATCACAATGTCTAAACAAAAGAAAAACAAAAAGATACTTGTCGTACGTAGAACAGGAAACTGTCTGAATTGGTATCCTTATGTCAAGTTTAATAGCTTTAACTGGTTTACTCGAGTGCAATTCAGTGTTGTATTCTTGATAGTGTTTGCGTCACAGCTAGATTCTACATAACTCACTGTGAGGCCCGTTCGTTCCAGAAAGGCTTTCATTGCCTGGACCTGCAGCACACGTTCTTCTGGCTTCAGGGGATTAACTTGCAGCATTTTTAGTTTGCAAATTGCACCCTAAAGGAAATGAGAGTTGTAATTACAATTACAAAGTTCACACTGACTCTTCCTATCTTTGATAAGTAAGCGTGAGGGTTGTGAAACTTTACTTCCCACAAAATATTCACTTTGAACAAGTTTATTTCCCAGATTTTCTGATTTAAAGCTATCTTTAAAAAGGTTTTACAACCAGTTGTAATCCTGCAAATTATTTCTATTCTTAGATTTAAGGTTTAATATCCTGCTTTTGGATATTTACACCACAAACATGTTTTCTTACATTTTTACTTTCAACTAATTACTCAATAAATGGAGTTTTGTTTGCATTCACATGTAGATTTGTCTCATTACTTTATTGTGCATAGGGCCATTGTTGTTTCAATATTTCAGCCATAAGAAATATTCACAAGAGGACTTCTTGTTATTTCTTTTGAGGATAACTAATGCATCAATGAGTTTATTCAAACACATTATCATCACAGAAAAGGCCTGAAACTGAGTTTTCTAAAAGATACCATTTGACAACCTTGATGGAGTTTACTACATTACTTTTTAAAATATTGTAGTTGAATCCCAACTGATGGTATATCTCTTTAACTTTAGTTGAAGTACTGTTTGTTTTTTGTTAAAAATGAGCATCCTTTCACTTCTCACAACAACAATTAAGAACATATATTGGCTAAACAATCTTATGTAAATGTCTTATGCATAAATTATGAGTTTGTCTTAAGAACATTAAATTTAAAGTGCAAAGTAGAGTTTAGAAGTCAGGGATTATTTAAAAGCAACAATCATTGGCTTTTTACAAAAAATAACAGACTTTAGTTTCAAGAATTACACAAACTGCAGAGAGAGAAAACATCCAGGAAGATAATAATAGAACGTTCTCTATGCACTGAGATTGAGGCGGAATGATACTTAAACAAAAAAAGTCTGATAGCTTACCATTTCTGTCACATCTCCTTGGTCAAAATCCATCACCCTCAATCCTACAGCAAATTCTAAAACTGTTACTGTCCCTGTGTTACACACCTATTTCTTGTTCTGACTCTTCAAACCAAACTCCAGCCCCCAGTTACTAGCTGGCTGTATTCCAAACAAGGTGAGGTTTCCTTTGAGTTTCATGTGCCTAAAATCTGTAAATCTTCCTGAAGAGGTGAGACAGGCCTCGACTTGGAAACAGCCATTTTGTAAAAAGAGAGACATACTGACATTCAAAACATTCACAAAATTTGGTAGTGAAAAAATAAGCAATGTTTCTTAATGGGTTGGTAATATGCTGTTTCCAGGCACATAGTACCATTTAATGCACGATAATTATGTTCAGTGACATAAAAAAATGCTTAAAAAAACCTGGGAATAAGATTATAACGTAATGTAAAGCTAAAAAAAAACATTTAAATAATACCACCCTCTTTGTTACATTATTACACAAGAACACCCACCAAATATATATATTATATATATTATATTATATATATATTATATATATATAATATATAAAATATACTTTCGGAGGGGAACATAGACTCTATTCCACACATAAGGTAGAAGGGCGAGAATTTTGTGGTCGTGTGCCTCAGCGTAAACAAAGAGGCATCTAAATATTGATCCCAGTCTTTGTGCCTGTCATTACTGAGTTTTATTAGGGCCCTCGAAAGAACAGGTTCACATATTTCCATATACCAGTACTTGAATTTGTAGTAGCTTTGTTTACTATTATTGTCCTAATGTAGAGATTTACCAAATGATACATGGATATATATTTAAGTCAAATTTAACAAGCCCAGAGAAACATGTTATAATGATAAATTGTGAAAAAAAAATGTTGAAAACAAGCCAATTTTGCTTATTAACTTTGTGTTATTGACAGAACTGGAACTGGAACCGATCACCTCCTCCACACACACAGTGTCTGTTCCTCTGGGGTCGGAATTTTAGATTCTACACACTGCAAACTATTTGTGATCGTTTTGTTAGTAAAATAACACCTAATCATTCATCTTGCCCAGGTTATTGTTGGGTTGTGGGAAGTATGCTCACAGGTTGCTGCTAAGGGGCGCTAGTTCAGTTTTCTTATGTTCAGTTTTGTCTTGTGCAAAAGAAAAAAGTGCTTAACGTCATGTTATTTTTTTATTTTACGAAATATGAAGTTGTTCTCCAAATTGTAAATTTGTTTAAACTTTGTAAAAAAAGAAAAGAAACCAAACCACACACTACACAAAGTGCCCAAAACCAACACATCTAATCAAAGAATTACATAAAAAAAAAAAAAAACACTTTGACACTCAACCTTTCTCTAAGCTATTTCACATGTCTCACAAAGAAGAATGATTTAATTGATTTTACTTTCACTGCATTTTACATGATCAACATCTCAAGCTACTAATGGGATTTCTTAAAATTACAATTGGAATGTAACCAATTACAAATTATTAAAATGGTTTAACAAATGTTTGATGTCCTTTTTTTGACACTTAGATACAGTATATGAGTGGGGGATCTTACACAAACATTGATGAGTGAAAAGATGTTTAGCATTTGATCATGGTGGAGGTGGGAAGTCAGTGAAGTGAGTAAAAAACGTTTTTTAAGTGATTCACCCTCAAATCCCGATCCCGGCTGTAGAGTTTTTGACATAATGAACCCTCTAAAAACGTTTACTATGGATGGAAAGGGGCAGCTTGTTGCAATTCTCCATTCGATAGTCATATTAATCAAAATATTAAAAATTCTAATAAAAGTAAGTGCACTCAGAAAATGAATTACTGCTAATTATTACACACGTTAAGGACTCTAAAAAAGAAATAAAATCACAAAGAAATGCTTAAATTGAGTAGAGACCATTTATTTATATTATTTAACGTGCAGGCTTTTAAAAATACGTGCACAAATGTAACCTTCAATTCTTACAAACTTCATTTAAATTAATTTTACTTGGCAGTGGGTCCACGTGTACGATCAAAATAAGTGTGCAGGTCAATCTGAACTGAAATTAAAACATGTATAAGGCTCTTTGCTGTTGGACACCCACATAAACATCAAACAAACATGTTGATCCATGCTCATTTAAATGAATACTTATTTAAACAGGATGAGAGTAAAATATTCCAATAAATTATTCCTTGTACCAATAGTTAGTGGATTTCTGTCTATAACAGGGGTCGACAACTTTGTTTTGCAGCATGTTATAAAACACTGTAAGTTAATTCAGAAAATGAAGACAGATTCCATTAAAAGAAAAAAAGAAATCCTATGGGAATAGTCAGTCATGTTTGAAAAAGAAATGGCTAAAACAGGACACTTATACCACGGATTAATGGGCATTTCTAAGTAGAAACATCATAATTCTAATGATATATGACCCCTTGTTTCATCCAGATACAACGATGATAAAGTAGCGCACAATGTGTGTCCATGTAAGCACATTTGGTTTCAAGTAAGACTAAAGAAGAGGAGCTCCACGTTTGTGTGCTCGTCTGGGAGAAGGCACGGGGTGAAGCTAGAGCTGCCTAGGCCCCAACGTTTGAGCTCTTAGTGCCACGCGTGAAGGTGAAACGACCCACATTCCAAAAGCTGTGCGTGCAGCTTGTTACAGTAGGTTGAAAGTACAGTTAGTCCCCAGGACAGAAAACCCAAACCTGTACCGACAACCGTTCTCACAACCGAGGAATGTGGACTAGCAACGCTCCCAGCCCGTCTCCTGTTCAAAAAAAAAGTGACAGTGTGGTTAATTCAATTGGTCCCGTTTACTTGGACGACTCCGGATCCAGGTGTTTGAGAACGCCCCCCACTAGGTGGAGGCTGCCGGTGACCAGGACGTGGATGTGGGCGGCCTCCCGGAGAGGGCCGGCTCTGGCCGCCGCGCTCGGTTTGGCCGCGGGGGCGTTCCCGGCAGCGTCCCCCAGCACGGAGTCTCTGCCCTGCGCGATCCACTGCAGGGCGCTGAGGATGCAGGGGAAGACCAGCGAGTCGGCCCTCCTCTCGGGGGCCGGCAGCAGGCCCCGGGCGATGTGCAGCTCCGTGCCCGGGCGGCCCCCCCGGCCCGTGTGCAGGTGCCAGCTGCTCTCGTTGTCCAGGCAGCGGGTCAGCATGTTCTCCACCGACACGTTGAAGTTCTGCTGGTCTAAAATGACAGAAGAAAATAGAAAAAGATGAAAAAAAAATCTGTATTTAGAGACTATTCTTGATGTTGACATATTGATCGACAAGCAGTGTGTTATTTACCCTTAACTCATTCGCTGCCAAAGACGTCTATAGACGTCTTTTATGTTTTTCAATGCGAGTGGCTTGGGGGACGATCGGCGAAAGTTTTTCCGTAAATATCGGCTTCTAGACAGAGTATGGACTAACAAATTTACCCTCTAGGTAGCTGTGCCACTTTTGATGGGAGATTAGCATAGATTGTAAGCAAATAAAAACAAACGCAATGGTTCGCTATGAGATAAATGTCGCCGGTGAGACGCACGTCGAAGAAGAACGGAATAAGGTAGAAACAAAATCTTTTTTCCTGATGAAAGAAGAGAGTCTACTCTTTCTTTTGGTGTGTTCGGTGTTTACATAGTCATAGCACAAACTATTCTGTGGCTCTTGAAAAATCAGTCAAAATTCTCAAAAAACTCTGGCAGTGAGCGACTCTGTTCTGAAAATGGCAGCCAGTCAATGAGTTAAAGGGGGACATATTATGCAAAACCAAGTTTTTAATCATTTGATTATGTACATTTGGGACTGTGGAGGGCCTATCAGCAGGCAAAGTGTGAAAAAAACAGACTGTCATATTTTAGTGGGCTGCCTCAGTCTGAATCCAGGGGATAAATCAGGAGGTTTCAGGAGTGGGTAGTTTCTGACGTCATTAGCTCTAGCTCATTATAATATTCCAGCCTTTCACCTGCATGTTGCCCCCCCCCTCAGCTTACTCCGCCTATCTGTGGCAGACGCCGTGGTAGCGTGAGCCTGAGCGTTAGCATGGTAGCGTTAGCATGGTAGCGTTAGCATGGTAGCGTTAGCATGGTAGCGTTAGCATGGTAGCGTTAGCGTGCCGACGTCGGCACACCTACCGGAAGAAGTTGGTGGGTTGCCTGTGTCTCATTTGCATTTAAAGAGACAGGCTTGTGCTGTGGATTTTGACCAAAGCTTGTCACAGAGATTACATTAGGACACCAGGGAACTAGTTTAACTTGTTGAAATGGGGTATAATATGTCTCCTTTAAAACAAGCAGCTAACAATAGCAACTAGATCTTTATCTGTTCAGATAAACATTCTTGACTGGATAGATGATCATAATTGGTTTGCCCACACTTCAACTAATCATGTTGTTCATCAAAGAAGAATCCCTTAAGCCTAAGCACCGGGATTATTGGTTCTTTTATCGTCTTGGTAGAATTCTAAATCTATTCTAAATTCTAAATCGAAGATGGAAGCAGCTTGTTGGCCTCACCTGCGTTACAGGAGTCGATGGCCTCGGTGATGTTTGGGCAGAAGACGGCAAAATCAAAACGGCACGGCTGAAAAAGGATGAAGCAGGAAAGGGTTTGTGTTACTGGGGCTGTAAAAACATGCTAGCAGTCATTCATAAATGTACTAAAATAAACAAAAATAAAAGAAAATCCTCAGTAGCGTGATCAATAACAGTTTTCCTCACCACCAGCAGCTTGAGCATGGCAGCAGAGTCCCTCTCTCCCGTAGCGTTGAACAGCAGGACTCGAGCCACAGGTCCACTACAATACAAACACATCAAGATCACGCAAAAATGCTTATTTATTTGGACTGCGATCAACAGATAGACATTTGTATGTCTATATAAACACAAACAAACCAGATTTAAAAAGTACATTTCACATTTAAATTCAATTGAATTACCAGAACTGTTCATTAAACCAGAAGTAAGATAAATATCAAGTTGAAACTGACGCGAAATGTGAAACTAAATATATTTTAGAGCTTAAACATCAGACAAACATGAAATAAACACTCAGATGAGATGTGAAATTTTTTTACAGCTCTGGAGATTTAGTCACTAAATCAGGATATTTGCATCTTTCGAAGATAAAAGGGAAAAGGGGATTTTAGTTTTTCCTTTCATTATTCCTCAACTTGAGCATGAACACTGTCCTTGTCCCAGTTTACGAGGATGAGAAAGGATTAGTTTTATTGGTTGTGAACCTTGAGAGTTAACCTACTTCTAAGATTTTCTAAGGAAGTTAAGATGTCAACAAATAGCTTATTTCACTCTGCAGACATCCTATTAAATTGCATTTAGTTTTTGTGGGATAATACAGTAGTTACAAATATAATATAAATATTATTAGAGCAGAGGGGTAGTCTGGAAATGTTTTCACTGATTATGAGCTGACAAAGTCATAATAGGATGATCGCTCATTCACAATTTCTGATAGATTTAGCCAAAATAAAGAGATAAATGTGCAAATAGAAACCATGTTAATGTGTATTCTGCATTACTCATGTAGACCTGGCTCCTTTGAATCAAGCTGCATGTGTAAATGCAGAATGACATTTTTGTGAATTCTGCACCTTCATTGGTTTCAGTGTAACATTTAGCACTTCCTCACAAAAAAAGGCTGCCATCGATTTGTTGCGCAATTAGATTTTTATCTACAGATTTATATGTACCTGGCATTTCTCTCATGCTGAGCAGCAGCCTCCCTGAACCACTGCACACAGGCCTGCATACTTCGCATGGTGTGAGCTCCATCCAGAAAGTAGGTGAGCGCTCCGTGTTTCAGGGTCTGATTTCTGCCGGGCCACTCCGTTTCTGCAAGCCCTGAGACCCAACACACACACACACACACACACACATTTCAGAGTACTACCCTGTGCGTTCTTCAAAAGCAAATCCTGTCAATTCTGTTCAAATTTTAGAGAGATCTCATTCAAATGTTATTTTGTATTAACGTCAAAAGAGGAAATGGACGTTTTTTCTTTATCTAGATGAGCAGTGGGGACAGGAGGGCTCCGTGGCTCACCTTTCACCATGAAGGGGCTGAGCTTGAAGGAAGATGCCCGAGGTAAACTGCTGTTCTCAAGATTGGTGGTGGGAAAGCTTTTATCTGTTGAAAGCAGACAGGTTAATATCACCGGGGGGAAAACAGCGTGAACATGAGCACACATAATTTGTAACAGTATCTCCAACAATATGTTCACAAATAGGCTCCTTGTACAAAAGTCTCCTTTGTATGTGCTCCTAGAGAGCACATGCATGCTTTTTAACATCTCTATTACTGGAAGACATATCTTAATACCATGATTACGTTTCTTCTGCTGATTTGTCTAGGGTTAATAATTCCTTGTGAATTCATTATGAAACTAATGATAGATAGATAGATAGATAGATAGATAGATAGATAGATAGATAGATAGATAGATAGATAGATAGATAGATAGATAGATAGATAGATATTTGAATGGGTGCGCTTGTTTCGACTGTTTGGGTGAGGGAGGGGGCTGAACAGTAATTCCTTTGTTTTACTGACATAGATTTGGAATTTGGAGATGGTTCTCTGCGCAGCGCTTGGTGAAACTAGTGACGGTGCAGTGGAAGTGCAGAGTGGACTGGTTGTCTGAGTGAAATGCGATATGGCAACATGACAGCGATAGTCAATAGTGTGGGGATTGTCAAATGTGATTTTAGGCACAGATTTTAAGCACCCTGGCTGGGAGGCCATTGGACCCTGGAGCCTTGGCAGAGCTGCAAGGGCTCAGGGCTCTTCAGGGCCTGGCGGTGGTACGGCTTTCAGCGAGGCCTGAAGGGAATTTGGTGCCACCAGATGTTGTGTCGAATATTTTGTTATTTTTCGCTCTACTCGTGTTAAGGAAATTAACCTCCTGAGAGCCTCACATGAGGACATGGCATTTCTGCCCTTTCTTTACCATAATGCTTCTTTTTTCTTGACCTTTGACCTCTTGGCCTCATAGCAGGTTTGAAATCTAAAGTCAAATGGTTTTATACGTTTTCAACCAATCGTGTTCTTATTGTATAATTCAAATTTTCTAAATGAGTCATTTGGACTGTCAGAACCAAATTTAAAAAACAATTAATTAAATATATGAATCATTTCAATATAAAGATAAACCCACTGAGCCTACATGAAGAAAAAACTACCTGCACCATGACAGAGTCTAGTTATTAAATATGTAAGGTCCTACGTATCCCATACATCTTGGAAAAAAGCAAAAATGCACACCAAATAAAAGCCCGGGTCTGAGCAGGCCAAAGCCATCTGGTTCCAGGCCTTTGCGTGGTAACGTGCCCACCTGGTACGCATCTTTTCTGCAGCCAGGCGTGACTCAGCTGCAGGGCCAGGGAAGCGTTCAATCGCTGGTGTTGTCCCGCCAGGCCGAGACACAAAGGCTCCGTCTGATAGCGCTCCAGCTCCGGACACACCCACAGTGGACACTGGAGAGGAGATCAGGCCTTATCAGATAAGCTGATGAGTAGGAGGCACAGCCGTATTTCAACAGGAATGTTGGACCGAACGGTTTCAATAAAAGGGGACCCTCACTTTGATTTCTTTGGCTCTATCTCTGAGCACAGCCATTGCATCTTCTGGTTGTTTGACTGTGAAGGCAGGAACTCCAGGCTGCCAAGAACAGAACATTTGAATAACATTTTCATCTAAAAAAGTTAAAAAAAGAGAACATCTTCCGAAAATCCCTTCTTCGCTTTCCTAAGTACTGATGAGTTTGAGATATTTCTTAATTTTTTCTTTAATTTGAAATCTTTCTAATAACGAGTAAACACTAGCAGCAGTTGACGGTGGTTGGGTTTTTTTGTTGTTAAAAACATACCTTGAAAATGCCTCCTTTTTGCCAGGCAATCTTTTCAATCGTGTCCCCCAAAATTTGAGTGTGGTCTATGCCCAGGGAAGAGATGCCACACACCCATGGTCTCCTGCCACACATAGAAAAGTGTTATTAAGCCACAGCATTCAGGAAGGAGCATGGTCCTGGAGCGAGTTAAATTCGTATGTATAGGTTCTACTGTATATCATAGGATATTTAAATTTTTTTTTTTTTTTTTGTATAATGAGTTGCATATCAAAAGTCCCCCTTCGTTTAAAAAAAAAAGAAAAAAACGTCAACAGGAAAAAAAAAAAAAAAAACTTTTGAAAACCTTACCTTATAATGTTGGTGCAGTCGTATGCTCCACCGATACCAACTTCAACTACAGCTAAATCCACCTGAGCAAAGACAGGTTTACATTTAAGAAGAATTAACAACCGATAAATAACAATCAGAGTATTTTTTACTTAACCATTTCAATTTCCTTTTTACATTTCACAAAACATCACTTGTCCAAAATGTCAGAATATAGCTCCTCTTGTCAGGCTGCTGCTAACCCACCTTTTCTTGAAGAAAGATGTGGAACGCTAAGATGGTGAGGAATCGGAAGTACGCTGGCATTGCCCCCCCATGAGCATCCTGAGTAGATCAAAAGGAAAACACAGTCACTCAATCACAGTCACTCAGTAGTACAATAGGTCATTTTTTTCAATTTCAAATCATATTTAATTGGTTTCAATGTGAAAATCTTCTGGAGAAGAAGAGGTTTCTCAAAGGAACTTGTTTCGAGTTTCCTCTCTAAACAAGGAGATGAAGCAACTTTGATAAAAAATAAAATAAAATAAAATCTGTGTTTTCTTTTTCCACATTTGTCAGAATTTTGTCAGGTTTTTTAAACAAGTATTTTTACATAGAAGGAAATGCAAACTAAACATAGAATGAAGAAAAAAATAGATCCAAAATTAAATGTAAACAGAGCAGTAACACTGATAAATATAAGTAACAAGTGTAACAGTAAATTGAACTTAAACTAAGAACTTAGGACGAGTAGTGCAAAACAGCAAATGTGTGAAATAAGGGACACCTTATGGCAGGGCTGGCCAATCCTATCACCTAGAACCCTACCAGTGTGAGGACCCCACCCCCACCCCCCACCCTTCACTCTTCTTGCTCTGAAAGTAACTTGAATTTCATTTGATGCAAAAATATACAAAGAACGTGAATTATTACACAATTTAACTATTTTCTTTTAGTGCAAATAGAATTCCCAGAGTAAAATCTTCCTTAAAATGATAAAAAAAATTGGCTGGTGGAACTAAAAAGAAAGAACTACCAGTATTATCGCAGAACACAGAGTAAGCAAACAAAACAAAGTGAGCAAAACCGGTGAGCACCAACACGAGGCGGCAATTCGCGGCGCCATCTTTTTTTCTTGCACCATAAATAAACAGTCTATAAGAAGAAAAAGGGACTTCGGGGACATAAAGAATAATTTGATATCATAAATTCATGGACACTTTTGAAACATGTGGGAAAAGTCAAAGTCCCCAGCAAATGTCTCACTGGATTTTTTCCCCAACTGGGTCTTTTTAGAAGTCATGTGAGGGTCATGCTTGTCCCGAGGCCCACGTTGTAATGAATTAAATTATAACTAGGTCCACTAACAACTAGCACAAGATGAGTTTTGCTCAGGCTGAGTAAAAGTAATCACTCAGCAACATCCAGTGAGAAAAAGGAGACAAAAAAATTAGCGATTGAACCAAAAAATGAAGCCATACAGTGAATTGAATAAGAATGGGCTTATCATGATTCACTTTAAAATAGATGATGACCTACCTTTGTTTCATCAAGCTGTCTGTAAACCTGCCAGAAGTATTTAGTAAAGAGGTCTTTTCCAATGGGCTGCCCATTGATCCTGATCCTTTCTCTGACTTGTACCAAATGCGGAGAGCTGCAACCACAACAGAAACAGAACAGTTTACTCCCGTCTTTAGGTTCTTAAAAATGCATCCATTTTGGTCGTTTTTACTAAATTGGAGACGTAATTTAGTTAAGAAGAATTAGCAGTTGTGTATGTTTCTTGTAATTTGTGGGTGTCTTAAAAAAAGGGCCAGGATAAAAAAGTCAAAGACTTCATTTCTAGTCGTTTTAAGGCAGTGGGATGGACTTAGATCGACCTCACTGGCAGTGTAAACTCCAAAACATGATCATGAACGTCAACATTTGAAAGCAGACACAATTCAGATGTAATACTACAAAGGTAGACTGTTTATATCAAGTGTTAGCGCTCTGCCCTAACTTTGGCTACCATTTGCACAATGAACTCTGTAGAAAAAGAGGCCAACTTGTAAAAAATAAATACAGGATTAGGGTTTGAAGTTACAATTTGAAGTTGAATGCATGTGCATAGAACAATGTAAGAGCTTAAGTTAGGGGGTGGCAGAGAGAATAAGCAACATCACCAGCTGAAATTGAAAAATCAATGAGAATAAATCAGATGGATAAAAGGCAAGGTTGTTTTAACAACAAAAAAAAAGTAATAGGATTTCTCAGAAACATTATTCACAACTTTTCTGAATTCCATGTGTCTAGATACTGGTTATAGAATTAAGTTTGGCTCTTATGCATCACAGAGTGAAACTGCAGGTCACAGCTTTACCTGTAAAATCCCGTGCGGAAGCCGTAGCCTCTCAAAATTCTCTCAGTGAACGCGCACGTGGATCCCTGAACAAGTGCAAACAGATGTCACAACAACACGCCTCTCCTCTAGATAAAGCACATGTTTGAGGAGTTGTGTTTGTGTGCCCTCCGGGTCGGAGGTTGCGCAACGGGAGCTGAACGTTGCAGGACGGGCCGTGGAAAAAAACAAAGAGGGCTCACCTTGCCCTTTGTTCCGGTCACATGGATGATATTGAGGTGGTCTAGAGCTTCATCCTTCAAAACACAAAATCCCAACACAAAGCGTTTCACAACACTATACGGACTGGGCACTTAAATGGAGACGATAAGGATGTTATTTCTCATCTCTGGAGATGTTTTCCCGTCTCACCGTGAGGCTGGCTCGCTCCAGGTAGCTCCTCATGGCCTGCAGCTGCGCCTGAGGGTGGCTTCTCTCTTTTCGTACCTGCTCCAGAGCACTGGCGTTGGTCTGGAGTGTGTTCAGGGTATAAATTGCGTCCTAAAAAACAAAAAGCCAGGGAATAAAAAAAGATGAATCCTAGAATCCCAGCAAACTTAAAAACACTAACCAATTTTAAAAAAAGTCACCCATAGTTATGTTAACCTCATAAATCTTCAGTTAGAGCAGGGATTCCCAAAGAGATTAAATATGTAATGACGGCCTGGCAAATCACACAATTACAGTGTATCCACAATTACACAACAATTACAGTGTACACACAATAAATAAAGACATGTAAATAAACATATCCTTTGTAAAAATGAAGATACAAATAAATAAAGAGTATTCAGGTGAAAAATGTGTCCATTTAGAAGAAGTCTTTTAGGCTTCGTTTCAAGATGAAATATAGAAGAAGTTATCTTCTTTTACGCATTGTACTGTATATGCACACCTAGGTTGTGGCTTCTACTTCATTCATTCTTGCAAATGTGCTCAATGGGCTCCAAGTCTGTGGAGAAGGTCTATCTGATGCTTTTTTAAAAAAAAGATATTTCACAGGAACAAATGTGATTCTCAAAACAGACAGTGAGAGATATGGACAATTTGCAGGAGGAAAAAGTTGGGAAATGTGTCTGGCATGGGTTTTTTTTCTTCGTGCAAGTCATCTGGGGGGATTCTCATATGACCAAGGCAGAAGCATGCAGGTATATACAAAATTATGCTGGAGAAAATGACTGACAACATGTGATTACAAGCAAATCTATCATTCGAAGTGCTTCTGGCAAAGGTGTGTAAATGGTATAATACAAATCAAAGCACAAATGTCACCAAAAGCCGATGTATTTCCTGTGAATATTTACAAACAGAAAACACATGTTGAAACAAAAACAAATGAAACAATGTTTGCCAATGGTCCTGTGGGCACAGCGTGTTCAATTGGATGCATGACAGCTCATAAAATGCTATTTCTATCACTACTCCATGGGGTTTGATTAAAACTAATCACAACTAAACTCACAACACAGGCGATTATGTCACACAAAGTGGACATTAGTACTCAAGCTAAAGTACAACAAGGGTTCGCCGAGGAAAGTGTCACCATGTGTTAGTAGAGTAGCTCTCTAACGGTGGTCAGCTGAATTAACTGTTTGATAAGCTCTGTCCACATTACACGTACTAAGCAAACTGCTCTTTTCCCAGCTAACTGCCCAATTGATAGTGCCATATAAGTCGATACCTATTGCTGTCAGCCATTTTTCTGTTCAGAATCCAGCTAAACGTTCTCAAAAACTGCATTGCAAAACTTGGCGAACTAGCCCGTTCCTGCGGTGGACAAGCTAGCTGGTTAACAACCAGAGAAAAGTAGCACCCGACCTGGTAGTCCATTCTCGGTAGCTGAGGGGCGGTTTTGGTGCTCTGGTATCGGACTGTCAGACCCGCCAACTTGCACACTCGGTCCCGCTCTCGGAGAACGGCGGGAAAGCCGGCGGTGTGCTGCACGAGGCGTCGTAAGCACATTGTCACTGTGCAAGAAAAATGGCAGGAAACCAGCTTTCCAAATATGGGAGGTTGTTTTCGTATGCGTGACGTAGAGGCACGCCCCCTTAACGTTTTGTTTTCATTGTATTACATTGTCATTAAATATTTCCAGCATACTAGTTTAGTATTTTGAACCAACTTTATCGACATGCTTGTGCAAGTTGTGACTGAACGCATATGAGTCCATAAGATAATGCTCAGTAAAGTTTATATATAGTCACTTTATGCTTTATATGATAAATATATTCTATATCATATTTAATCGTTTCAAAGCACTTGTTCTGTGTTGCGTGTAGATTCAAAGAAGTGTAATTCACCTCCAAGTCAACACGCGGCGCTCCCGCTGAAATCATACCGTCTTGGTAGTGCTGCCTTCACGACAGTTTTTCCCCCCCCGAAAACTTTATTGAACCATACAACATTTACATAAACAGCTAATCGTGGGCAGTTTAAACTACAAGCTGCTTTAAGTAAATATCAGCTTCGGAGGGAACTTACAAAACATTCCAAAGATAGCGTTCAATCAAACATAAGTAACAGCAATAAAAAAGAAAAATCAAATTAACACAGAATAAATGAATGAAGGCAGTAGTATAAAATACAGAGCCAATATAACAGAGGGTATTTTTTTTAAATAGTTAATTGTTATTCATAATTTCATATCATTTCTGGGCTATGAATCCATTGTCATTTTTCTTTTAAATTGGGGGGACATTTCCCAGTATTGTGAATACAAATTTTAGAGAAAAAAAACATTGATAGAGTTACTCTTCTAAGAGATGGGGATGTGTGTATCAACAATTCATTTGCAGCAGGGCTGTCAAACTCCGGTCCTCGAGGGCCGCTGTCCTGCAGCTTTTAGACATTTTTTTGCTTATGCACTCCTGATTCTGATTAATTTGGAGCTCCTCTGGACATGGTTGAGCTTTGCACTGGCCTGCTAATGGCATTGATGTGATCAGGTGTGTTGAAACAACGACACCTCTCAAGCCTGCAGGATAGCGGCCCTCCAGGACTGGAGTTCTACCCCTATATTTACTGGTAACCAGAACTACAATATATCTACTTTTAAATTAAAAAATATATATACATTTAAGTAATTAAGAAACGAATAAAAGTAGTGAAAAATGTTGTGACATTTTTTAAATTATGTGAAGAAAAAAGTTTTCTTAAAATGTGTGTCGTTTCTGTACGTTGCTGAACGCTTCATTTGTCGTGAACCTCTACTGACCGAGTTGTACTTGAATGCATCATCCGCAGTACGGTCTCAGTGTTGAAACGGTGCAGACATGCAACGAGACAAAACAAGTAACTCCGGTGCGGCTGAAAAGTAAGAATGTTGACAATTAATTTATAAGGCTAGACTATATGTTAAAAGTATGTCTGAATGTGTCAATTGTCATCCTGTTTTTTCCTTAAATATATCTTACATGCTGTTGAACGTCTTTTGTCTAGGCCCGACCGGGAGGCCGCCATAATGTCGAAATACTACGATGGAGTTGAATTTCCTTTTTGTGACGAATTTTCAAAATATGAAAAAATGGCCAAGATAGGACAGGGGACATTTGGGTAAGTGGCGCACAAACATTTACTGAGCGAGTCTGCGTGTCGGGTATGCTAGCTTTGCTAACGGCTACCATCACGAGGCTAGCTAGTACTCTTAGCAAATACTTTTTGGAACATACTCCACCTAAAAACGGTATGCACACAAAAAGGGTTCATAAAGCTTCGCCAAAAATGAAATGAACCACTTTCGATTTCAAAATCACATTAGTTCGGGCTCTGTGACAAAGCCAAATTAGTTAATTCATGGTAAAAAGGAGAACGTTGCCATTACTCGGTTTATTTGTGTGTTGGTCTTTAAACGTGTTCCTGTATGAAAACCAAGACTTTGAAGGATCACATCTTAACTTGATTATTCCACACTGTGTAGAGATTTACCATTCAAACTGCCTTGTTTGAACGTAGAAAAATGTCATACCAATAAATGTAATGGGTAGGATCTAATGGCAACCTTGTAAGTAACAAGAACACATTTCAATAATGATGCAAAAGCACTGTTGTGCATAGCTTTTTTATCATCATGCTTCAGAAGTTTTCAAGTGAAATCCATGATGTACAACAAAATACCAAGAGAGAAAAATCTGCAATGACACGGAGCCTACTAAGAATAAGGCTACGTTTTTTGTTTTGCATTGTATTAACGAACAAAAAATCATTCTAATGCTTTCTAGTTTGTCATATTCACTTCTGATCTAAATGCGGCACATAATGTATATTACATTTACTTATACCTCAAGACTTGTACCGCAAAACTTACCATGATCTTGGTGAGAAATTTTGATCGTATTCTAAAGAGATTCACTTATTTATAAGAATGCCTTAAACGTCACTTATGGACACAGATGATGATTTAAATACAACTATTAACCATTTAATGAATAACCTAATAGTCTAATGTTTTATTTCTCAAACTGTTCTCTCTTGTAGTAATGTTTTTTGTTGTCATTTTTCTACTTCTGGGAGTTTTAATCAGGCTGTTTATGAAGTATTTTTTAAAGTGTATTCATAATAATGACAGCGTTGTCTTTTTTAATCACTTTGAATAGAAATCTAATAGAAAGCTTTGATTGTCATTGAAATATTTGTATACAAAGAAATTTGAAGCGCTCATTCTTAGTCTATACAGTTGCTCTATACAGTCGCAATTATAAAATGAGTAGAACATTTTTAAAAGTGCAATATAAAGTGTCCCATAACATGTATGGAGGTGTTGCACGTAGCCAAATATATTGCATGTACAGGTGGAGGGGTGAGGGGATTTCACATGAATGCATTTTGCTGTGGAACTTGGTGGGTTTTTTTTTATGGGGGAGAGTGTTCAGCGTACTGTCTGCTCTGGGGGAGAACAAGCCCGTTTGCTCTGGCTTCATGCGACCTGAAGCGGATGGTGGCAGATTTCAGACAGGTTACAACCTCAAACCGAGCAAAGAATCTGTTTAGGTCCTCAGCTAGTGAGGTGTCTCCATTTACAGCCCTCTGGTTTTTGTCTTCATAGTTGGCCATGTGCTGCATTACCTGCTACATCTTGTTTGGGATGTTGTAAAGCAGAACACTGTTGCACTGTATTAGAAACTAGACATGGGGTGTTCAGTTGGATTTGTAAAACCCATTACAGCCATGGTTTGCTTTCCCTTTATTGTAAATGCTAAAATTATTCTATGCAAGCTGTAAGTGCGTTGTTTCTTACTTTTTAAACATTCCGTGTCTTCCACAGGGAGGTTTTCAAAGCAAAACACAGACAGACGGGCAAGAAAGTCGCACTGAAGAAAGTTCTGATGGAAAATGAGAAAGAAGGGGTAAGAAATCAAAAGTCCCCTGTCAACAAAAGTTTATAATTTCTAAATGCTGAAGATAAATGTTAACTCAGCAGGTGCAGAGATGACGGTGTAATATTTAGTTTTTAAGGCGCAGAATTTAGTTCATTTATAGTTTCTAAACTGATGGTAACCGTGTACAACAGGGTCAGAATCCCTTTCCCACACATGTCATTGAATGCACACCTTTTAAAAGGGAACCATAAGCCTCCCTGCTGCTGCCTTTTCTTTGTTTCAAAATGTTCTTTCCTACTGCTTTTGTCTGTTTGGACAAATCTTAATATTTAATTTCTTTATTTTTATTAGACATTTTCCCCTTCATGATGGAAAATCTTTGTGTCAGAAAGAAATTCTTATCGATGCTAAATACAGAAATCCTTGTGTCAAACAGGCCTGTTGTTGTTAATGGGGCTCAATCTTTCATTCTTAGGAGTCTGTCTTAAGCTGTGGTCCCTGAACACAATTTGTTGCCCAAAATAATGCTTGGCACAGTTCCAGTTATCCTCTGACATATCCTAAATTCTAAGAGCCTTGCATGTGAGAGGTGACGGTGACTTTGTTCAGCCATATTAGATTTGGGCTGTAAAGTTCAAACTGGAATGGCTTGAAAAAATATCTGATTATATTTGAATAATTAGGGACAATGTTGTTTTAATACAGAAAGTTTCATACTGTTCCAACTATCAGTAAAACATTTAAAGTGTATTTATTTAAAAAAATAAAAATAATGAGTAGATCCTTTGTAATCAAGCCACTTTAGTCACGTTGCAAACAAACACATTTCTTTCTGTGGTTAGAAAGTCTAGTCAAGTCTCTTCTCGGTGTGAAATGTTAAGGCCTACCTCTGTTTTTTTGGGGTTTTTTTCTGTTAATTTGTCCTCATTTTGACATTTTACTCACAGAAGTCGCTGTCTGCTTTGTTTCAGTTCCCAATCACAGCTCTGAGAGAGATCAAGATCCTGCAGCTGCTCAAACATGAGAATGTGGTCAATCTGATTGAGATCTGCCGGACCAAAGGTTCATAGATTGCCTTCTTTTGTCTGGATATTTGATATTGGCACAGAGCAGAGCGATTGAGGACGGAGATCTGAACTGCTTTTCTCCCCGCTCTTCAAGCCACTCAGTTCAACAGATACAAGGGCAGCATCTACCTGGTGTTTGACTTCTGTGAACACGACCTGGCCGGACTGCTGAGCAACGCCAACGTCAAGTTCACGCTGGCAGAGATCAAGAAGGTCATGCAGATGCTCCTCAACGGGCTGTATTACATACACAGGAACAAGGTGTGTAGTATGAACTTTTATTCAAGCTTTTAAACATTTGGAATGCAGAATTTGCAAACAATCGTTTGCAGATCACAGCTCCACTACAAACCCGTATCATCTAAAAAAAATGTTTTGGTATAATGCGAAAAGGGTCCGTGCCCACTATTTGTAGGCTATTGTTTTGAGACTAAGCTTTTTATTTAATTTTTTTTTGGAACGCCCAGTTTTAATCCGTTTGCACTTGTTTAATAATCCAATTGGTCGATTTCTTTTTAAAAAAAATATTTTTTAAATATTTTTGGGTTTTATTTTTGGGATTATAAATTAAAAATAAGAAATACATTTAGTATGCCGTAGCCTAACATTGTTTGCATTTTCCTCTTTTATTTTTTTTATTTTTTCTAGATTCTTCACAGGGACATGAAGGCGGCCAACGTCCTCATCACCAGAGACGGCGTCCTGAAGCTGGCCGACTTCGGTTTGGCTCGAGCCTTCAGCCTGGCCAAAAACAGCCAGGGGAACCGCTACACCAACCGCGTGGTCACGCTGTGGTACAGACCTCCAGAGCTCCTGCTGGGTAAGAGGCGGCTTTAAAACCCCAGCATATATACGAAGGCAGGAGTCTGCTACCGGCCAGCTCCAAGTGGCAGAAAAAGAGCTGCCCAGAAGTTTGTTCTGGTGGTTAGAGCTCCAGGAAATGTTGGTGACGGGAGCAGGACCCACCTCTACTGAACTTCCCAAACTAACTTTAAAGTACAGTAGAACCTCTACTTGCAATTGCAGAAACATACAAATTTCCAGTATCCAAAGTGAAACTTGATCAAATATTCGACCTCGACACCCGAAGTAAAATCCCCTAAGTTTCTCTCGAAGCGTCGCTTGGTTCACAGTTCTCCTTCATATCGTGTGCATGTTGGATCATAATTAACAGTGCTTAATAGCTTCCTTTTTCATATTTCCTTATTTGAACCAACATGCAACTATTTTAGCATACAAAGTAGGTCCAGAACAAATTGAATTGGTTCTACTGTACATTTTTACGTTTTTTTTTTTTTTAAATTTACTATAACTTGCGGTTTCGATAGTATTTTCTTTTGAAACATCTAAAAGAGTTTAAGTTTGACACTTGCATTATTCAAATTGTCAGTTTTTCCTTTGCTGTCCTCTGAATGACTCTCTGCCTCTTGTTCATCTTTGCTAGGCGAGCGAGACTACGGCCCCCCCATAGATCTCTGGGGAGCGGGCTGCATTATGGCCGAAATGTGGACGCGGAGTCCGATCATGCAGGGCAACACGGAGCAGCACCAGCTCACCCTCATCAGCCAGCTCTGTGGATCCATCACAGCCGAGGTGAGGCGCTGCCCCCCCCCCAAAGGGGTGTCAAAGCGGCAGCACGCACACAAACCTCCACCTGAATCTCCCTTTTCTCTCAGGTCTGGCCGAGCGTGGACAAGAAGTACGAGCTGTACCAGAAGATGGAGCTGCCCAAAGGCCAGAAGAGAAAAGTGAAAGACCGGCTGAAAGCCTACGTGAAGGACCCGTACGCGCTGGACCTCATCGACAGGCTTCTGGTGCTGGACCCGGCCCAGCGCACGGACAGCGACGACGCCCTCAACCACGACTTCTTCTGGTCCGACCCCATGCCGTCGGACCTGAAAAACATGCTCTCCACCCACAACACCTCCATGTTCGAGTACCTGGCGCCGCCCAGGCGGAGGGGACACATGCCCCAGCAGCAGCCCAACCAGAACCGGAACCCCGCCACCACCAGTCAAACCGAGTTCGACCGAGTGTTCTAGTGCTGAAGGAAACAAACGCTCTCACTCGACTCAGCAGAGCTTCACTGGTCGGCTCCGTCACCTCAGACGTTCCTCTGCGATGTTTCCCGCCGGTTTTTAGTCCAGCCGTCTCTTCTCGGCCGACTGTCCGTGGCTAAACACGCGGGTTGTTTCGGTTGTCCAGGAATATGACTGATGTTCAGTTACGCAAAGCATTTTTTGTACAACGCAGTACCGAAAAGATTGGTTGTACGCGTTTAGTCAGTTTTTATTCATATGTTTATGTCGGTTAGATTTTTTCTTTTTATTTAATTTTTAGTCATTTTTTCTCTTTTACCTGTGGTTAAACAGATTTGAACATTTTCAGGTTGTGCAGTCAAGTTTTAATATTTTTATGCCAATATAAACAGTTTTCAGGGTTGCAGATTTCTGTATGCACACTGTAAGTAACGCAATAAAACTGTTTTCCCTGACTGGACTTGACGTCATGAAGTTTCTGTGGGTTGCACTTAAAAAATGGAAGAAAAGCCACTTATAGCCGGAGAAAAAGAAGCAAGCCTGGCTAGTCACAGCAATCTATAGTCACCTATAGATGAAAATAGTTTGGGAATTCAGCATATTCTCCCAATAATATCAATTATATTTACCACTAGTGTCTTTGTTGCCCCACTAATATGTAAAGGAGAGTTGATCAAAACCTGATGGTAGTTGAAAATAAGCTAATGTAGACCATTTAAGTAACATAATTTAACTTTTTTTTTTTAAAGAAAAAAATGTAAGATTTGATACTTTATTTGAAGCCTAATAGAGGCTATTGGTGTGTATCAATTTTAGCTGAAATTATTTAAATGATCTGGTAAGATCAGTCTGTGTTAATCTACATGTAATAATCTAATACTGCTTCAAACATAAAAAAACATAACTACCCTGCATATTACTTTAACACTTTAAACTGCTTTCTTAAGATCATTAAGTATCCCAAGATAATTTTCAACAAAAGCTATTTTATACTAGTTTCAAAAGTATTATTTATCTCTGGATTTCACAGCCATTTTCTTTAGTCATGATGCCATTTTCTAGATTGTTAATACAACAAATTTAAAAATGACTCATATTTTAATTGAATGTGCTCTTAAAACATTTTAAATTAGTCTTTGACAAGATACCTTAAGTATTAAGTCGATGAGGGACACTTTCCTGTTGTCACAAGTCATGGGGTGTAGTTTAGTTGGGAGCACACCTATACAATATTAATTTATTTAGAAAACCCTTACATTTATCTAAAGGAGTTAATGAGATAGGTTATTGTCTGGAGTCCTTTGAATGGATTTAAAAGTTCTGCAGCTTTCCAAAGCGTTGTATAAATAAGAGGATGTTTGTAGGATTAATAAATCCTTGATTTTATTTATTTTCATATGAGTCAAGTCCCTTAACCAACAAGAGATCGGAACATCCTTTCTTTATTAATCTAATTCCGGAGGTGTGAGCACAGCTTCATCTGCTCACTAGATGGCAGGACTCTCTCTTTCTTTATGAAAGAGCGGCTCCATTTTTTGGAGTCTTTTTTTAACAAAAACAAAAAAACAAAATAGAAAAATTAATCAAATAATAAACGGAATGCAGCATCAGATTTATCTAATCTAATGGTGTACCTCACATATCACCAGATGGAATATTCTTTGAACTCAGCCACAACCTTGAATTAATATATTAATACTTTAATATTGTATAACATTCAATGAATAGATGACGATGTGTTTTCATATATTATGAGATATCAGTGTAACAGCTGGTGGTTATTTATTTATTTATTTGAATACATAGAACACCCTGTTCTGCATAAGAAAATTCCTTATCGATGCAGAGGATTTGGGGACCACTTCAGATTATTTGCGGGTTGAGTTTGTACAACTAATTTGTATCTGGGATATAAAACAAATTCAGGTCACTGTCACAGTAGCACCGTTACCTGACTATGTCCTTTTTGCATATCTATTGATTCTTGTTCACTGAGAGGAGGCATAGAATGGCAAACAAGCCATTTTAAGGTCATGTGAATTATATAGATTTTTAAGAAATGATCAGTTTGCTTTTATTTTGAAAAATGAATAACTGCTGGATGAGGGGTGGACGCCTTTATAGAGTATCCATATTGAGACGGTGTAGGGGTTCCAGTAGATCATGATCATTTGAGCCGTGTCCGGGTCATTAGCCCCAGTTGGGTCTTCCATGGAAAATTAACCTCAGGTGGAGAGAGGTCAGACCACTGGGGATTCAAAAACCTCGCCCACCCAGCACTCGTTTGGACACATAACGCGGAAAAAATGAACCAGGTCTTGTAACTCGAAAAGGCAAAAAGGTTCTATGTGGACCAGCCACTGTTGAGGACATTTGTGGTCCATGCATAGCGAAGGGGGGGGCAAACAAAGAGACCTGGGTGTGTTGACCCATTACATTATAAACGGTAAAAGTCGCTTTAGTTGGTTATGACCAAGCTGGTAGAGCTAATCTTTGTCATTTTAAAGATTTTTAATTGTAGGCACGGAAAAATATCCATCTAAAATCTCTATAATCGACATAAAAAAATGTATTTCACACTTAAAAAATGGAAGAAAGGCCACTTATAGCAGGAGAAAAAGAAGCAAGCGTGGCTAGTCACAGCAATCTATAGCCACCTCAAGGTGTAAATGGTGTTGGAATTCAGCATTATTCTGCCAATAATATCAATTATATTGTTGCCCCACTAATATATCAAGGAGAGTTGATCAGATCCTTTCTGAAGGTAGCTGAAAAGAAGCTAATGTACATTAAGCAGCATATAACTAGAATAATGAGGCCATTTTCTAGATTGTTATAAATTGTTAATAATACAACAAATTAAAAAAATGCTCATATCTTAATTGATTGCGCTCTTAAAGGAGATTTTAAATTAGTCTTTGACAAGATACTTTAAGGATTAAGTCACTTTTTGTCAAACACATCTAGTACTATTATATATGTTTTTTATATATATATATAAAAACCCCTGCGACTTGTCACTATAACCTGAGCAGCGGTGTAAACATACTTTGCTAAACGTCCCTTCCTGACTGACCTACTGACCCCACTGTATGCTGTTATGAGCCATGAGTTGAGTCTTTTTCCCACATTATCACCATTGAGTTCCAGGGAAATGATGGAATCCTCTCCTCCACACCAGATATGAACTCCCTTTGGGTAGTTATGTTCTCTAGAAGACAGATGGGGAGTTGGAGGTGGAGGTGAAGAAGCTGGAGAATCAAACGTTTTTTCCCACAACTTGATTGTGACTAATACAGTAGAAGACATCAAATTCATTCTTCTCCACAGAACATCTTCTGCATTGAGATCCATGCTAATGACCGATGTGTTTAAGGACTTCTGGACTTTAACAATTAACTAATCCATACAAAAGAATTCAGCAAAACTCTGATAGTAATGATATTCAACTTTCAAGTAGACAATATTTACACTATAAACTGTCATGTATATACTAATAACTACTTGTATTTGTGCATAAGGTGCCCATTTATTGACATAAAATGCTTCACAAATACTTCTCAAATAGTGGGCTATGAACAAAAAGTAGTTGAGAAGCGCTGCAGTAAAGCTTATAACTTCTACATTTATGAAACTGCTTTAAGGACACACACAATAGGGTCGAAAAGTAACAATATCTACCTAACCCTTTAATGCCTGATCCAAGAAAAATGGGAAGAATATTGGATTTTTTTTGTCTGAAGTCCTTCTTTGGCCCCTCAACAAGATATGAAGAAAAAAAACAGAAATGATTTTGATCAAATTAGCGTGCAATAAGTCAAAAATGTATTTTGATGTAGTCTTCTACTGGCTGTTATCAGGTATATCTGAATGTGTACAACATGGGTTTGAGCAAAGCTTTTACCACTGAATGATGCAAAAAGTCTCAGATCCAAAAGACTTCAGAAACCGTATGTATCAAATATGATACATTTGGCATTATAGGGCTAATTAGCTAACTATTTTGTCCTTCTTTCTGTGAAATAAACAACGAAATAAAGCATTTAAGGCATTGTGAATGAACTAATTATGCCCCATGTAATGAACAAAGACCAACAAAAACAGAAACATTTTTTTAAGTTTTTAAAAAATCTTTCTCATGTGGATCACATAGGAGTTATTCATTTGCATCCGTGTGTGTGCATCTGATTGTCGTACCACCGGGCTCGCAGCCTAACAACGACCCGTGAGCCGTGTCAAAGCGGAGCCTTACTCAGATGATGAATTGCTATTTTAGTTCCAGAGCTCTTCGGCTGTCACTTCTGTTGAGGGGGAGACGAGGACGAGGACGACAACTAACATAAATTAGAAAAAAGCATTCCAATGGACAGATGGGCCTCTGAACGCCAATGCCACCTGCATGCAAATGGACTTCCTGCTTCTCGGCGCAGAAACGGCGTCAACTGATGAGATGCCAGGAGAGAAAAATACCACCCCCGAACGGTGCCAGGTTTTGGCCACAGCGGGGACAACTGTGAAGTGGACACAGAGAGTCGGTACAGAGTTCTGTCTGAGCGGAACGATAACGCTTCGGCTCCGGCCGGCTTCGTTCGGGGCAAATGTCAAGCTAGATTGGTCTAAATGTCATTTCGGATTGAGAGTGGCCGTCCTCCTGAGAGCTTGGTCAGTATTTTGGTGTGATTGTGCTCTGTAGATGTCATAAACAGTCCAATCTGGTCCCTGGAGTCCTCCTGTTAAGTAATCTTTGGTATTCACAAAAATGGTACGTTAATCTATTAAATTCTTTTATGAAAGTCAGCCTCTTTATGACTGATAGATAGATAGATAGATAGATAGATAGATAGATAGATAGATAGAT